GGACAGACGGTTAATATTTTTACAGATTCTAAGTATGCCTTCCACATATTCCATCACCATGCCTCGGTATGGAAGGAAAGGGGTCTCCTAACAAACAAGGGACCCCCCATAACTAATGGCCCTTTGATTCTTAAACTCCTGGAAGCTTCCTACCTCCCGACTAAAGTGGCTATGATCCACTGTAGGGGGCATCAGCCTCTCAACGATCCCATAGCTATAGGCAATGACCTAGCAGACAAGACAGCTAAGAAAGCCAGTATGACTCTCTCCCCTTCGGATGGTTTACATTTCTTGGTGCCAACTGGAATGTCCCCCTCCTACCCTGCCCAACAACACAGAAACCTGGACAAAGGCGCCACCCAGGAGCCAGCGGGATGGTTGCTTCTATCAGACAAGTATTGTTTGCCTGAGGGACAAGCCTCCTCTAGCTTAACCCATTTACATGTTTTTCATGTAGGTGCTCACTTGCTCTACAAGTTCCTGGAGCCCTTCATCTATTGCCCCAAATGTTTATGCTTCTCACAGAAGTCACCAGGCAATGCTCTACCTGTGCTTCTGTTTCCCTGCAGGGTGGAAGTCACCCTCCTCCATCTTTCAAACCTCACTAGCACCGAGGGGTGGGGGTGGGGGATGGGGGATCCCTCCTGGGAGTTGACTGGCAGATAGACTTCACTCACATGCCTACTCACAAAAAGCTGAAGTATCTCCTGGTTTGGGTAGATACATTTTTGGGATGGGTAGACACTTTTCCCACAATAGGTGGAACAGCAGATATCGTGGCTAACTGACTAACTCAAAACATTCTTCCTCGTTTCAGTCTTCCCCTCATTCTCCAATCAGATAATGGTCCGGGCTTTATCTCCAAGGTCACTCAGGCAGTCTCCCAGTCCCTGGGAATAACCTGGAGGTTACACATCCCCTACCACCCCCAATCCTGAGGGAAGGTGGAACGAGCTAACTCCCTTCTTGAGGACCACCTTATTAAACTCTCCCTAAGGTTACACCAATCCTGGGTGGCTCTTCTGCCTCTTGCCCTCACCAAACTGAGAGCCATCCCAAGGGCTCCTTCCTTCCTCAGTCCTTTTGAAATTATGTATGGAAGACCGTTCCTTCTTAACAACCCTTTACTAGAGCATCCCTTCCCTCTACATGACTATTTACCTGCTTTCACCCTTCTAAAGAAACTACTTAGGGAACATGCTGACCGGATTATTCCTCAGGCTTCTAAAGGCCAAAGTGACCACCCACTTCAACCTGGAGATCACGTCTAACCGCGGCTTCACACCCAACAGAAAGGAGTGAAGGAAACCCTCCAGCTGCGTTGGAATGGTCCCCTCCTGGTGATCCTGTCTACTCCAACAGCAGCCAAGCTCTCGGGACAACCTGCTTGGATTCATCTCTCCAAATTAAAACTGGCCAAAGAACACAGCAAGTACCAGGCCACCAGTATCGGGCCTCTTAAATTGAAAATCTTGAGGACCCCTCCCTTAATACCAATCCAGGAATGAGTTCTCTACTGACCCTACTTCTTCCCTCTGAACACTAGCTCAGCCATTCCCCACTGCACCTACCCACTGCGTTCTTATAGATTTGAAATGTGGAAGATTAATAATAGAAATCGAGAACTCGAGTTCCTTAGCTCTGCTATGTGCCCACTTTCTTCATATAACACTATTTCTCTTAAATTTGACATGGTAGATGCCCACTATGGCAGATTCCTCTGCTTCATAGATGATCAAACCAAAAAGGAATGCAGGGACCCGGGCAATTGGGAAGGCTTCCCCTCATGGAATTGCAACTATCATTGGTTGTGTGTGGTGGGCAAAGGGGGATGGGGTAGATACGGCATAAGCACAAACCAACTCATTCAGGTAACTGACCCGACAGATCGTGAGTATAGCAGGGATTCAATCCTACACAGACACAATCAGTATAAACAAGGAGTCTGTGGGGAAGAGACCCTCAAAATACTTGACCCTCACTCATGGATGGTGGGCCACATTGCTACAGCAGGGATCCAATACACAGCGGCTGCCATAGACCACTGGTGAGTAAGGATAAAAAGACAATCCAGGACTCACGTCCCCAGCGGGCTATGAAAGTCCTGGATCAGACACGGGGCCTGACAATGAAGCAGCTTCAACACCTCAATGCCTCCCTCCTGGGATGGTGTTCTCACTTTATCACTTAATCTCCTGAGGAATTTTTCTAGTACTAATGTGTCTACTTGCTTCTTCTGTGGCCCTCTACAGGGCTCACATCTCATCTCCCTCCCAGTTTACAATGTTACTCCCCAGGCTACTACTTAATGTTCTCAGGGACTCCTAAGAACAAGGACCCCTGCCTGCCCCTCCCCTTTTCTTAACAAAATGGAGTGTTGGACTCCACAAACCTCTGAATGCCCACACTCATCAAGCCGAAATGTCACAATCAAGGGCAATACTGCTCTAACCTTGGGACTACTCTTTCTCTGTTCTTCCAAAATATAGTCCTGCATCTCTCCACAGATTGAGGACACCTGCACTCCAGACATTCTCATTCCCAAACTAACCCTATACACACCAGGAGAGGTGTATAATATCTTATCCACAGGGAAAGAAGGAACCAGAACAAGGAGGTCAGCCACCTTGGCAGTCCTGGTAGGAGTTAGCCTGGTGGCATCAGTGGCAGCCACTGGACTCATGGCCAGAGGCTTGGGACACACGCTGATCTCAACCCAGCATCTCTCTCAGGAAATAGAGGACTTGAGACAGGAACTCACCTCAACAGTGGAAACTACACCCCAGTCAATTCAGATCTTACAACAGCAACTATCCTCCCTAGCCAAAGTTTCCCTCCAGTGCAAGGTAGTCCTTGATCTATTAACTGCAGAAAAAGGGGGAACCTGTATTTTTTGGCGTGAAGAATGCTGCTATTTTATCAACCAATCTGGTAAGGCTGAACATGATACAGAACGGCTCCATCAGGTAGAAAAAAATCATTCACTTAAGAATTCCCAGTACCAGCAGTCACATCAACGGGGCTTTTTTTTTTTTTTTTTTTTTTTTTCTTCTGGTCTTTTTAAGACAGCGTCTCCCTGTAGCCCCAGCTGTCCTGGGACTCACTATGTAGCCCAGACTGGTCTTGAATTCACAGAGACCCGCCTGCCTCTGCCTCCCGAGTGCTGGGATTAAAGGTGTGTGCCACCACGCCTGGCCCCAGTGGGATATTTTTACAGGATTAACTCCCTGGCTTCTGCCCATACTTGGCCCCCTGCTTTCTATTATTTTGGTGCTAACCATTGCTCCTTGCCTCTTCAGATATTTTCAGGACCAAATCCAAAAACTCCTACTAATTTTAAGCAGTTACTTTCCTTCCTTCCACATGTATATGAACGTCTGTCAACCATTAGGGACCCTGTTCAGGTACACAAAGAGAGAACCCCTGCTGTCTGATCGACCCCTAATCCAGGCAGCCACCCTCCCCAACAGGGCCTCACTGGTTCCACAAGTCCCTGGGAATATAGGAACCCAGGTGATAAGCACACTGGTCTTTGAAGTCAAGAGAAGCAGACTTTTCTGCCCCTTTTGGCCAAAGGCAGCTTGCTTTCCCTTTGATGATCTCAGTAGACAAGATAAACAGATTTCACCTTTTGACCAGAGACCCTAGGAGTCACCAGCACAGCAGGTTTTCCCTTTGATCTTAAAAGGGTAAAACAGACACCTTTTGACCCAGATCCTGGCTGACTGACAGAAGGGAGCAGATTTTAACTGAAGCTGTTCTGACAAGTCCCACTTTCCTGTGTCGTGTCCGCCTCCCCACCTAATTAAAAAAAATCTTCCCACCTTCTGCACCCCCTGAAGCCCCTCTATAAAGACCCCAGCTCATGACCCATGGGCTGACATTTTCCTTCCCACAACGGGAATCTGTTCCGTGGGAAATAAACTCTATCCCAGTGAGAGTTTTTATCTGTGTCCTGGTGCTTTCTCCCAATTGACCTGGTTCATCTCTCGGCTTCTTCTGTCAATTAGGACCAGCCTTTCAGGAATTAGACTTATTAGGACAAAGGGCCTTCAGAAAATAATTGACTTGAAGTGGAATGGCATTAGAAAGGAGCAGTGCAATGTATGTCTGAGGCAAATATGAATGGAATCTTTAAAGAGAAGAAGAGGCTTTGCTTTAAAAGCTGGAAAGGAGCTTCTTTAAAAGGGACAACTTAACCTAAGGGAAGTTTGCTGTGGAAGAGAGGTGTGTGGGGAGGTGTCCCAGAGGAGACTTCAGAGAAATTCCCAGGAGAAATATGTCTTTAAAAAAAAAAAAAATCATTTCAGAAGGTAGCAGGAAATTCCACACCATGTGATTTAGTCTAGGATAGCCTATGTGATGAGGAGAATGGAGGAACCAGGTATTGAGTAGGATGTAAATTAGAAGTTGTGGAATCACAGCACAGACAGCTTCTTAACTGTGTCTCAGCAAAGAGCTGCAGGAGTGCAGTGAGGGGCAGTTTGGCTGGTTTCCTCAGTCTGTGAGACATGGCCTTTTAGAAATAACAGGTTCTTAAACAGCAGGCCTGGGTTGTAACACAATCCTTAACGTGCCTGAGTGGAAAATCTCTGGAGGACATCGGACTCTAGGTTATATACCAATGTCACCTATGGTGGTCTGTGTGCCTTTCTACATCTAAGGCAAGAGGACAATGATATAGAACATTGAATGTTTAATTGTGCACCTGAGAGACCCCCTAGGCGCAGGAAGAACAGGAAATGCTTAATAAATTTCTCAAGACAGCAGTAGTTGCTCTGCCAGGCCAAGAGCAAATTTTGCTTACAATCTTCTTGGAATTGCGCACGGTCTGTGCCTGGACAGGCCGCCAAGTAGAAACAGATGTGCTTCTCCATCATTTTAGCCCCTCCTGTCACTTAGGCATCAGAGATGGCCCTAGGCAATCAGGGCTTCAGACTATGGTGCCCAATCAGGAGCACCGACCGGAGGAGGGAAGGCGGTCTCAATCCAGCCGCCATGTTGCGGGTTCTGAGCTGCGGTTTCTGCTCCGTGGCAGAAAGATACGCCTGGAGTGCTGCGCCGTGAGCGCCCTTCGGGGGAGACTAGGGTTGTGCGGGCGAAGCCAGAGGCCGGGCCATGGTGAGCGTGGGGCCGCCGTGTGCAGACGGGAGCAGCGGCCGCTGGAGCCGCCGGAGCGGGCCGTGCTGGGTCCTCCCCTGGGGGGCGGCAGCCGGACACGTAGTGCAGTGCAGTCTGTTTGGTACCTGGGCCCTGGCCCGGCTGCCTGTGTGCAGTTTCTGCCGCAGCCGCTTCTGCGCCGGGCACTGAGCGGGAGGCTCCGCATGCGCGTGCAGCTTCAGTGTCTGGACTGTCCAGAGCACCGGATCATGCTGTTGTGCTGTGTGGACAAGTGTTAGGGGAAGTGAACAGTAGAGTCTGAAAATCAAGATGGGGAACACTGGGAAAAGGACACGAAGAGGGCTTGCAGCTGGGTAGGAGATAGGCAAGCTGTCTAGGGGTGGGAAAACTGCAGCCAGTCTGGGCAGGTTCCGTGACTCCTATGAAGCTCCTCCCTGAGGAACAGACAGCTTTTCTGTTTCCCCTAGGAAGTTCATCTAATATGGATGTTGACAGCTCTCTTCATATTCTTGTATTGAATTTAACACTGAACCTTGGGTAAAAGGTTCTTCAAAATAAGCCTCCGACTATTTGAGGAAAGGGACCACTCCGGACCCAGGGCGGGGCAAGGGGAGGAGAGATGTGGCCCAGGACTCACAGTCCGCACAGTAGAGGAAGCCCCTCTCAGCCCCCTCGGCTCTGTGCGCCCTCCACTCCGCAGTGCGTCCTTCCTTTCCACGTTTGCTTTCTCTCCTGCTGAAGTAAACCTTCACTGCTGCAGCTCCCGGCTGCTGTCTCTGGACAGTTAAGAAGCAGTCTGTGCTGAGACTTGACAGAGCATAAATTATGGAAGCTGGCTCCTGCATGCTCTTTGTTGTGTAATTTATTTTGAACTGAATCACATGATGTGAAATTTTATGCCAGCACCCCGGTGTTCTTGGGATTGCTCAGGGGATTTTTCTGTGAATGTTCTCTGAAGATTGCTGTGTGGACTTTCCATGAAGCGGCTCCTCTGGCCTCCGCACCGCCATTCCTTTCATTGGGTGCGTGGGTCTCTCTCTCTCTCTCTCTCTCTCTCTCTCTCTCTCTCTCCTGTCTCACTTATTCCTTATTCTTAATCTAAATGAAGTTCCCCTCTAGGTTGTGGGTTTTTTTTTAAGATTTATTTTTCACTACATGTGTGTGTACAAATGAGTGCAAGTATCCAGGGTGGTCAGAGGATAAGCTATCCTCCTGGAGCTGGAGTTACATGTTGCGAGTGGCCTCATGGAAATTGGACTCAGGTCATCCATAAGAGCAGTACACACTCTTAACCCCTGAGCCATCTCTCCTGTCCCCACTCCAGGTTTTAAAGGGAAGCCTTTCCTTTTCCGTAAGGCCCCATCACGTTCGGCCTCTCACGTATATTGTACCATTTTCTGTCAAATGTTCTTCCTCACACGTCTAGGTCTGATCATGGTCCCAAAGCCCTTTCTCCTCATAAATCTCATTCCTGAAGGGACTGTGTCAGTTTCCCTTTTCAATGCTGTTGCTTTATTATCTCTTTATTGTTACATTTAACAGAGGTACAGTGGCTTTTAAGTTCTACAGTAAGAGGAGTAACTTGATCTTTAGGGCCTTGTGGGTTCCTGAGATATGTTATACTCCTATGGCTAACTTGGCTGTCAAGGTAGGATAAACATAAGATGCCAGTCTATGTCCACCCACTCCTGTGCCCACCTGCACATGATGCCACTGTACCATAGGAATGGTGTCAGGTGGGCAGAGCTCTTAGGTGAGACCTTATAAAGGGCTTACTGATTATTAAGGGAAACTTGGATGTTGGGTGTGAGGAAGGTCATGGTGCGTGTGTAAGTCAAATTAGCTGATAGACAGAGGAATGATTTTTCAATGGGAAGTGGAGACCTGGGAAGTTCCGGCATGTGACCACATCTAGGCAGAAAGGGAGTCATTCCTACAAAGGAGTGAGTTGAGAGAGGAAAGAAATGGGGGAACCAAATCCCCTGCAAAGAAGGGTTCAAACTCTGGGCAATATTGTTATGGAGCCAAGGCTTTTCCTTTTCTCACTACCAGTTGAGCTCTTTGCTGCCTGTGAGGACTCTGTCATTTTTTTGAAGTGGGAAGGAATTTGAAGAGCTTCAGAGAATTGTATGTTCTTTCCAGGGCCATAGTTCAGCATAAGCAGATTCTCAGAGTTGGCTGAATGGAGATTGTGTATTTGGGCTTGTGTATATGTTCATCTGAATGCAGGTATGTGTGAAGGTGTCCATGTGTTTTTGGAGGCCAGAGGTCAACATTGAGTGATTCCACATATCACTTTCCTCATTTTTTGAATTTGAAATTTTCTTTATTACTATTATGTATGCATGTGTATATCATGTGTGTGGGGATGGCCTCACATTTGCCATGACGCATGTGTGGAAGCCCGCGGACAACTTTGTGGAGTCAGTTCTTCCACCTTTATGTGGGTTTTGTGGGTTATACTAATTTCAAGGTTTTCTAAGCAAGTGCTTTCACCCACTGAGCCATCTTGATACCCCCCTCCACCTTCTTTATGGAGATAGACTCTCACTGAACTAGGAGTTCACCAATTCCCTTAAGACTAGCAGCCCAGCATGCTCTATGCATTCTGTAGTTTCTACCTCCTCACCACTGGAATTGGAGGCATGTGTACTGTGACCAGCTTTTTTCTTAGTCCTGGAGATCCAGTTTCTTGTCCTTATGATTATGTCGTGAGCACCTTAGAGGCGAGGCCTTTTCTTGTTCAGGTTTTCATGTAGTGTTTTATCTGGTGTGCTGAAAGTAAACCACCTGTGAGCTTTGTATTTTGTCTTAGAATTGGGTTCATTAGAGTTAGAGATGTTCTTTTTTGTCTTACTAACAGAAGAGTGAAGGTGCCTGATTGAAGGGTCCCCATGGGAACAGCCATTTCCTTATGGCTTATGGCTTTAATACAAACAGAAGTCTGGCTTATGTGGCCAGCATCTGCTCAAACTGCTTTCAACTGAAGAGTGAGGAGATGCAGGAAACTGAATTTGTGGTTACATTTGTACAGGAGTTTTAGAAGGGTATAACTGCAGAAATATAGGGGTCCATTTTAATCATTGTGGGGGGATTACTGTTAATTGTGCCCATTAAAATATTTAAAAAAATTTTATTTTATGAGTATGAGTGTTTTGTCTGCATGTATCTAAGTGTACTATGTGGGTACCATACCCATGGAGGCCAGAAGAGGACATCAGATCACCTGGAACTGGAGTTATAGATGGGTGTTAGCCACCATGGGTGTACTAGAACTGACCTTTGGTCCTCTGAAAGAGCATCATGGGCTCTTAATTGCTGAAACAGCTTCTCAGCCGTGGAGTCCATTTTAATGGAATGGCTAGATTGACATTGCCAGTCTAATTAGGATGTAAGAGCAATCAAATCTTCAGTCTTCCATGAGGGTTCAGTTGTGGTGTCTGAAGAGATCATAGACTCTTGGACAAGGTGGTAAGATTGTGTTTCAGGCAGGATCAGGAATAACAGAATGTTGAATGGTTAAAAGTGACCCAATAATGGGATTTTAACTTGGCAGGTAAGGAGTGTGACAGTAGTTATCAGGCAGTTAAGATGCCCAGACCCAGTACGGAGTCCAGCAATGTTGTCAGCATTGTCCTGAGAGCACGTAGGCAGCCTTTACAACTGGAGTAAAGATGTAGGTTGTAGCTTTTAGGAAAGTTTAACTTTGGTCCTGGAATAGTTTCAGGGGTCTCCCTGGAGGAACAGGGTTAGGATGAATTCCCTGAAGTAGGTGCCAGTGTTCTGTAGGATGTGGAATGGATAAAGGAAACAACATAAAACTTAAATTTATATGTTAGACCCCAGAAAGGTGAGAGTGTCTTAGCTATTCATTAGGGTCTGGAGATTTCTGAGGATAGATTTCACCTGATTCTCCTCAGAGTGTAGAAGGAGATCTCCAAGAGGGTCACAGGAGTAGTGCTCATGAACTTTTCTGTAGGAGGCCAGTTAAACCCATGATGTAATGGGTTAGGGTGATCATCATAGGCAAGTTCAGTCATAAGACAGGCAAGGGATTGACTGTCTGGGAGAAACAGAAAATCAGAACATGTAAAGCAACAGAAACAGCTTTACTGAAGTAAGCAAACAGCTCCCTTTTGAAAAGGGAAGAGTCCCTGAACTGGAAGTCCACTGAATAGGCCCTGGGTTCAGGGTCTTATATGATCACTAGATCCTTCCTTTTCCTTTCTTGTTTTTGTTCCTGCTTGGATGTCCACCCCTAGTGGGGTCTTCTGTATGAATCACCATACACTACATGAGGAAGCTTCAATGGTAAGAGTTGAGAGATGAATGAATCTATGAGTATAAAAATAAGTCATTAGGAGTTGGTTTAATACTATGTTTATTTAGCAGAATAATATTACTAGGCTTTTCCCAGTAGCCTGTGACCTGTCTAGCCACAGGTTCCTAGGCCTGACATCAGTGTAAGATATGGGCTCCTTCTTGTGACATGGACTTGAAATCCAACCAGTAAGTAGTTGGTTCCTCCTATAACACATGTACCACCATTACACCAAGGGGAATATCTTGTCAGGCCAGGTGTTGTAGCGTACGTGATTCCTGGTGAGGCAAGGCTGATGATCACCCCTCTCTTCTGCTAGCATGTATAGCACCTTTCAGAATATGAGAGCCAGTCAGTAGCGATGAAGCTTTGAAGTACCAGCTTGATTTCCTTTGGTTGTTCCACAACTTGTGCATGCAGTGTCTTTTCAGCAGCAGACTCTTACTTTAAAGTTCTGGTTGGTAACTAACAGTGGGGGCAATTGTCCTTGGGACCCCCTGGTTAACAGCTTCCAAAAAGGGAGTCCATTGCTTCCATTACACTTTTTCTTTTCTAGCTCATGGGGTTTAGTAGGGGTGATATCTTTCTCTTATAGGGCATTCTTTCAATAATATTTTTCTGTTATGTAGTAACTCCTTTTAATCTCTTCTTTCATTGTGATATATATATATATATATAT